TGTCTCCTCCCATTACGAACTGATGAAGTTATGCAATGCTTAGGGATCTAGACGTGCAGCATTATTGCTGTACACAAGGTATTAATAGTGAGCCCACCACACAAGTGACCCTGCCAACAAATAACCTACCTAAGTGAGAACTCCAAAAGGGGTCCACCCTTTTCTGGGGCATGGAACTGTACAATGCTACAGTTCATAGCAATCCCATGAGCTGTGCAATGTTTTGTGCAGCTAAGATCACCAAGAGGTGGCACCAACTCAAAGATGACTATCAATAACCTCTTCCCTTCTTTTCCATAGGGGAAGGCAACATCTGGTCTTTGTCCAACCTGATGTTTTCTCCATCCCTCATAGTCTGCCAATGCAATGTTGGTAGGGCTGATTTATTCACTCAAGTCCTCAGCTTCATCACAGATACATCATACCCAACTAATGTTAATGTCTTCTAGTGGTCAAAATAGTCAGAATTCCCTTCCACAGTGAGAAAATATGTCTGCATTTCTCTAAAAAATGGAAAGATTTTAGAGAACTACCATAGACTGGACCCTTTCATTTATTCCTAGCACTCACATGTGTAAGCAAATTAGAAAATAAAAGTTCCTGCTCTAGTGAGCTCTGGTGACCTAGTGGTAAGAAGCTGCACTGCAATCCCAGAGGTCCACAGTTCAAATCCACCAGATGCTCTGCTGGAGAAGGAGGAACAATCTCCTCCTGTACCAGCCACATCTGATTAGATGGTACACACACACACACACACACACACACACACACTAAAATAAAAATAAAAGTTCCTGCTTGATGTATGCTCTTAACTTTTCTTCGCTATCTATTACACACAAGGCTTCCTTACAATCTCCTCTTTCACCTAAAACGGAGCTGGGATGTCAGGAGCCAGGACATTTTTATGTCCTAACTGCTCAGACATCAATTCAGCTTTAATCTTCCTACTGTTATTCTCAAGCCTTTTTAAAATTTCAGGATCTTTAAAATGACCTGCCCAAATCCCCTTTTTTAATTAATATCAATAAACATTTACAGATATTTTGGATTTCCAGTCATTCACTGCTGCACTTTTCTCCTTGCCCACCCCTCCCCTCCAGTTCACTACTCTCTTTAAAAAAGAAAAAGAAGAAAAATAAAAATTTCTTCATTGGTATACAATTCCCCCATTTTCCCCCCCACCCCAAATCCCTTTTTAAAACTTTCCTAAAAACTTTCTAGCTATTGTATCTCCCTTCCTGTCCTTCTCACGTGCCTGATACTCTCAGATACTTCTGAGCCTCTCTTTAGCAACAGCCAGGCTTTGGGGGCCTCCATCACTATGGAAATGCCTCAGTTTAATTCACTTTACTGTTGTTATTGTTGCTGGTAGGTGCCACAGTGTTGGCTCCAATTCATAGCAATCCCATGAAGAGCAGATCTGAACCTAACTGTATCCTGACCCATCCTCATAATATCTGCCATGTTTAAGCTCCTGTTATGACTGTGTCTCTTCTGTTAACCTTCTGTCTTTGCAAGCATGATGTCTCTTTCCAACGACTGGCCCTTCCAGACAACATGCCTAAAGGACGCAAGATGAATTTTCATCATCTTTGCCTCTAAGCAGCACCGTGCTTGCACCTCCTCCCAAGACGGGTTTGTTTATTATTTTGGCAGTCCATGTGCTGTGCAGGAGTCTTTGCCAACACCACAATTCAAAGGCATTGGTTCTTTTTTGGCCTTCCTTACTCACTGCCTAACTTCCAGATGCACACAAAGAAATAAAAACAAGCAAACAAACAACAAAAACATGGCTTGGAGCAGACATACATCAGTCTTTAAATTGACTTTATTTGCTTGTAAGTATTCTGGAGAGGTCTCTCATAAGCAGATTTTTTTCTGATACAACATGCAATGTGATGCACTGACTGCTGCTACCATGGGTGTTGAGTGTGGATCCAAGTGACATAAAGAAAATCCCAACTTCATTCTCTCCATCTATCATGATGTTGCTTATTGGCCCAGTGGTGAGGAATCTGGGGGTTTCGGTGTTGAGATGGCATCTGTGCTGAAGGCTGCAGTCTGCCTTTTCTGCAGTATTTCACATTCCCTTCACTTACTGCAAGCAAGGTTGTGTGGCATCATCATAATGCAGGCTGCTGATGAGTCTTCCTCAATCTTCATGCCACATTCTTCTTCACAGAGTCCTACTTCCCAAATTATTTGCTCATCTTACAAATTGAATGAGTATGCACCCAACCTGATGCACACCTTTCCTTATTTTAAACCGTGCCGTATTCCCTTGTCTGGTCAACAAACAGCCTCCATGTCCTCTTCTGAACCATCTTGAATTTCTGGCAGTTCCTTGTCAATGTACTATTTCAGCTATTATCCAATAATTTTTAACAAAATTTTACTAACATGTGAAATTAATGACATTTTCTGGTAATTTCAGAACTCTGTTGGATCATATGTTTTGGGTTGTTGTAGTGGGGTTTTTTTGGTTCGTTTTTTTTTTTTTAAATGAGAACAAATATGGATCTCTTCCAGTCAAGTAGCCAGGCTTCAAATTTTCTCAGGCAGACCACTGAGCCCATCCAGGGCTGCATCTATTTGCTGAAATATGTTAATTGGTATTCCATAAACTCTTACTGAAGTCTTATTTCTTGCCAGTGCCTGCAGTGCAGCTTCAACTTTTTTCCTTCTTTACCATTGGTATCTGGTCACCTTACAAGCTCCTCATAATAAGGAAAATATATTTAAACAGAGTGAGTGGGAAACTTGGGGGTACGGCAGAAAGGAAACATAACTTCATTTCTGAAATACAATTTCACCTTCCAGAAGAGAAATGAAGCTTTGAAAATGTGTGTGTGCACGCGCGCACTATGGCACAAGAACTACAAGTATATATACATATATTATGGGGTGATGGGTGGGTGTGGGTGTGGGTGTGTGTGGGTGTGTGTATCTATAAAATTTGTGTAATACATATACTTATAAACCTTTAAAAATGTTCATCTACATAAGAAAATTGAAAATACCTGTTTTTTCACTTACATTTTAAAGTTAGTATAAGAAAAACATTATACTCTATACTTGAAAGCTACCAAGCTGAAGGTGGTATAGCACTTGTCTGTGCGTTGCTGTACAGAGGTAACTTGTGGTTGCTGTGATGCTGAAGACTGTGACAGTGATGTGCCAATCGTGGTAATGGTCACCCATGGTGGACAGTGTTGGCTGGAGCTTCCCGACTAAATCAAGCCTGGAAGCAGGAGCAGCATCCACTTCAGAAATGGCTTGCCTCCGGAAACTCTATGTATGAACAGTGCTCAGGCCGTTCATTCATAGGGTCGCTATGAGTCGTCTACGACTCGACAGCACCTGACAACATACTCAAGAGTATTTGGGGAGCCACGATGACCCATATGGTTAACTAAGAGTCTGAGACCTTAAACTCATCAGCTACTCTATGACGGACAAAAAGGTGGTTTCTGTAAAAAACATTAGTTTCTATGATAGTCTTGGAAACCCTCCTGGGAACTATAGGGAGCCCTGGTGGCCCAGTGGGTAGGGAGTAGAGCTGCCACCCGAAACAGATGGTTCAAATCTCCCAGCTACCTCTCATGAGTACCACAGGCGTTCTTATCCTGTGCAATTTACAGCCTCTGAAAACCCACTGGAGGTTCAGCTACGAATCAGTTCCAACTTGATATAAATGAGGCTCCCTCTGTCCCGGAACATCAGTGTGAGTCAGAATCAACTTGATGCCAACAGGTTTTAAAAGGGTTTTTTTGTTTGTTTGTTTTAAAAGGTACTAAGACAAAAGAAAACATACCACTGAGCACTTAGACTAAAGAACTGAGAGCCTTAAAAAACAATACAGTTCTATCCATTCTCCAGTAAGTGCCCTAAGAGACAATCAAGTGATTTCTCCCCACTCTGTGATCCCTCTCCTCACCATCCCTGTAAACCACACCAAACTATCGCTCAAGATGCCAGCCTCCAACCACTGAGCAGAATTTTCTCAAAAGATGGGGAAACCTTCTCTGGAAAACTCTTGGTGGAAATTACCCATTTTGAGGGAAGGATGAAGCAGTGCATGCCCAGTGCAGAAATCGGGAGAGGGAGGTTGAACTAGGGAATCAAATGCACAGCAGACACAGCCGTCTAAGGTGCCAGACAGTAAGTAGTACAAATTCCACCTCTGCTCCTGGTGGTGACAGGCTGTCCCGCTCCACCTCCCACAGTCGCCTCCCCCTCTGCTTAAGGCAGAGGTAGCGAGGCAGCGTGAATGAAGGCTGCTGAACCTGAAGTGTGCAGCTCGCTCTCGCCTCTGAATGGTCTGCTGCTTCACTCCAGAAAGCTTCCTCCACATGCTGCCAGCAGACACTCTGTAATACCTAAACCACAAATCATCACATTCCCCACCCTTTGAGCCAGGCCTTGTCCTTGAGCTTCCCACATAGCGAGATATTAACCAAGCTGGCCACCGATACAATAGCTCTTTACAAACGCACTGTAAAATCTGCCACACCATCTGCATGATATGCTGAAAGGTGGGTGGACCTCAGAACAAATAAAATAAATTATTCAATGCAGGTGAGCCCCAGAGAGAAATGTGGGATAGTTCAGAGACTTCATACTCTCTCCAAAAAAATGTATCCTGGCTAGCTTATTATTAAAGAAAATATTTTATCAGCATAAAAATATCAGACCTAGGATTAGATCTAAAATTAGCATGAGTGTGTGGTGGAAAGGCTGCCATTTAGAAAGACAGAACTGAAGGTAAGTTGCTTCAAATTCCTTTCCAATAGCCAAGAAAAGAACCTTTCCTCAAGGGGGAAAAAGGAAATCATGCTAAATATCTGCTGTCTGGTTGTTCTGGGAACCTAGATAGGTTTTTTTAAAATGATGCTTGAATTTTATCTGCTGTGACACGTTAAAAACAATCTCAACTGATCCGAATGTTTCCAAACTATGGCACTCTAAGTTAGGGGAATGGTGGATGAGGTGATACTCACGCTGGAAGGGGCTGGCAACTTTCTCCTGCCCATATCTCACAGGGAATGCACCTTCTGTGGACTGTTCTCCCGAAAGCACCTTCTGGGCAGGAAAGTACTTGGGCTTGATCACATATTCCTGGGTCTGGCCATGATGAATCATCACATTCTGTGAGGAAAGGGGAGCCATTCTGGGGAGACACAAAGCAACGATAAGGAATTGAATAACAGGCTTTTAAAAGAAAGAATATGTAACAAGTCAAACTCAGCAAGGAGCATGCAATCTGACACAAAGCCACTTCTCTGCTCCAATTACTGTCAGAAACCATTCATGACACGGAAGGAATGAACAGTTTCTCCCTAGGACACTCCAACTTCAAAGAGGCTTTCTGCCTGTTAAGTCAAAATACATAAAGATAAATACGCAATTGAAGTTGCATTTTACCAGAATTTCCAAAGCACAGATACCACAAGCCTTTATGTAAAACACACAGTCACTAATTTAAGGAAAAGACCTATACATAGGCAGTACATATATATAAAGAGATATTTTATATATACTGATAAACAGATGATCCATACTAGTAATGAGAGGGAGAGAAACAGAGTACTGCAAGGGACTAAATCAAGAAATTACTAGCTGGTTAACTTTACTAAAGTGTGCATAATCAGAGCTTGCACAGTACAAGCCTTCCACGTTGGTGGCTTAGCAGTAAGGCCTTGCCCTGCCAAGCCAAAAGCACACTGTTTGAATCCACAGCTGGCCTATCTCCTGTGCAGTTTACTGCCTCGAAAAACCAATGACAGGTCAGCTATAAGTTGGTTCCAACTTGATGGTTGTTATTGTTGCTAGGTGCCAGAGTCGCCTGCAATCACGGTGACCCTGTGGACAACCCCCTGAATGAAGCCTGCCCTGTCCTGAGCCAGTCTCATTCATTCCAACACACCAACCTTTCTTGCCCCAGTTATCACATCAGTCCATTTCATTGGGGTCTTCCTCTCCTGAACTGTCCCTTCACCCTTCTGAGCATGATGTACTTCTCCAAGGACTGATATCTCCTAGCCACCTGCTGAAAGTATGTGAGACAAAGCTTCAAAATTCTAGCCTTCAAGGAAAAACTTGGTTTCACCCTCTCCAAGACAGACCTATTTGTTTTCGTGGGGGCTTGACTTGACGGTACATGACGACAACAACAACATCATCAGGAAGTTGTTCAACCTTTTCTCAACCTTGGTTTCCTCATTCATGTCATAAAACATCTTCCACACAGGTTAAGGAAAAATGCTTATAAAATCATGAATAAACAAAAACGAAAAAAATCAAGTGAGGTGACACGAGAAGAGAGGGATGAAAGACACAACAGTTTTTACTTTCTTCATGACCTATAAATTATGATGATGTCCTAGTAGGAAAATAAACATCCAAATTGCTAATATTCCACTTAACACTTTTCAATTTTCCTATGTACTGTATTTTTATACAAGTAACATGTGCCTTCTACATTAGTTTGCCAACCCCTGAGGTATTTTTGTAAACATGTTATGCTCTGTTATGTTTTTTAACACTGATGTGTTAAAGAAAACCCAGTAGGCATAAAAGCCACTTAGGAAAATACCTCTGGTAGAATAGGCAGCAGGTGGCAAACAAATAAGAGAAAATGTACACTGTTTGCATAAAATGATAGCAAATTTGCGCTACTTGGGTTAAATGTTATGTAATTATAGCTTTCTATAAATAACAGGAAGACAAAGTACAGGTAATAATGGTTTGATTAATAAAAAATTCTTAATAAACTAATAATATTAGTAATTTATTAATAAAGTTCCTAGAGGAACTTCCTAATCTGAAGATCCCCAGGAACGGCCAAGAGAACAAGTAGGAATGTCTTGGAGAAAGTGCAGCTGGAGTGCTCCTTCGAGGCAAAAGAGGATAAACCTTCATCTTTTATATTCTGGATATGTTGCTAGGCAAGGGACTCACTGGGCGGGGACAGATGAGGGGTTAGCAAAGGAGAAAGAGCCTCAATGAGATGACTGACATGGTGACTTCAGAAACAAGCCTGAGTGTTTAAGAGAAGGAAGGATGGCACAAGATAGGGCGGGAGTGCAGGGGTCAGGCTGGCTGTTCAAAGAGTTGCTATGAGTTGTACTTGACTTGATGGCACCCAGCACCAATCCAATCTTTTCTTTCCTATAACAATTCTCACAGGCTGTACTCTTTTGAACAATATGCCTTTTTCCAGGTTCAATTCTTTCCAGGTACACAGACTTAAATTCATTAGTTTATTATCACTAATAAAACCAAAGCAACTGCAATTGGGTCAATTCAGAGTCTTAACAGCACAAAGGCCAGAGACAGGCTGCCACACAGTTTCCAAGGCTGTAAATTGTTATAGGAATAGTTGGCATCATCTTTCTCCAGTTGGGTGGGCTGGTGGCTGAACTTCCCAGTCAGCAGCAGAACACGTTAACCACTGCACCATCCAGTCTCCTATTAAGTAATGAAAAAGATAAAGGAAATAGACCAACTCATTCCAGAATGCCTAAAATTGCTACTAAATTGTAAGGACATGACATTTTAGTAAAGAATTGAGCCTTTGGAAGAAAACTTGCACTCTTATACAAGCTGACCCCAAAGCCTGTTTTAAATAAGTGTGGAATTCCAGGATGTTGTCAGAAGTTAGCATGCTGGGCCTCAAGCCGCAAGACTGGAGGTTTGAATCCTCCCAGAAGTTTCTTGGGGGGAAAAAAAGTCCAGACAGATACATTTTAAAAATCCAGATTTTTGCAAAGCAGGTGGTGCACAGCTCTGCTCTGGCATTCATGGATCACGGAGTCAAAACGGGCCTGACAGCACTGTTACTGAAGGGATATCTGAGAAATGGCACAAAACGTCAGTGGGCTCGGCAAACTGCCAACCCACCAAAACAAGCTCACGACGCCTTAGCCAAAATTGTGGATAAACTCAGCCCACTCTACTTGTTCAGCTGGGGTTGAAGAAAACACAGGCTTCCATGAGAGATCAGTCAGGAATCTACCGGTATCTCTTTAAATCCTGATGTCCTGAGTAAGTCTGGGGAAATTCATTCCAGGGCCTGGACTTCCCCAGATTCAGTGCCACGCAAGAGCACTGCCTCTGTGATCAGACTACTGACACAACTGCTAAAAGCCCAGGGCTCGAGAGTATAAACACATTCGTTTTGATGACGTTAACTGCTGGTTTGAAGGTGAAGTATGCATGGTCGTGGTCGAGATAGAGCAGAAAGTGAAACAGCTGGGCACATCTGGTGGTGACTGATAAGAACCACAAGTGTCTTCTGTCAGCTTCATACGCAGGGAGAGTCCCCCTCATGTCCACAGCAGCTTACTCTGAGTCATGGAGTTTGGCTCCTGTCACTATGCTCCTGGGCACCTGCTCAGAAAAATGGGAGCTCACTGTTCTAAAAGGGGCTGTCTGACACTGCAGAAGGCAGGCCTGTGGTCTGCTAAAAACTCCTCCTGCTAGGACCACTAGGTTTGACTTTGGAGTCTGCAATCTAGTCAAGGTCCTCCCCTCTCAATCAGGGAAACACAGGATGGCAATAAACGAGCAGTGTCTGTAACCTAAAAGCACAGGCATGCGTGGGCTCCTTTTCTCTCCCTACAACCAGGAAGCGAGAAACAAATCAGTAAATAAGGCTAAGTTCTTGAGTAATAACCCTCAACCATCACTAAATTAAGGAGATATGTATCTTCGAAATGCCATTTCAGATCCAGTGAACCCATCACTGTTGAGTCAATTTTTATTCAGGGCAACTCCACAAGCAAAACTGTGCTTCTCCATAGGGATTTTTAGTGGCTGATATTTTTTAAAGAAGTAAAATACCAGGCCTTTTTTCCCCCATGGGTCTCTGGGGTAGACATGAGATTCCAAATAGAACAGAGCAGGAAGACACTGGATGGTTCAAAATCAAGAAAGGGGTCTGTCAGGGATGTATTTTGTTTCCATTCCTTTTCAATCTGTATGCAGAACAGATCATTCGAGATGCTTGGCTGTACGAGGAGGAATGTGGTATCAACATTGGTGGAAGAATCATCAACAACCTGCGTTATGCAGATGACACAACCCTGCTCGCTGAAACTGAGGAGGACCTGAAGTGCTTGTTGCAGAAGGTCAAAGACTACAGCCTCCTATATGGATTGAAGCTCAAAATCAAGAAAACGGATTCTCACCACTGGGCCAATTGGCAGCATCAGTATGGATGGTGAAGAGATTGAGATAGTTAACAGTTTTAGTTTGCTTGGTTCCACAGTCAACACTCTTGGTAATAGCAGCCAGGAAATCAGGAGACGAATTGCATTGGGAAAGTCAGCTGTAAGGGACCTCTCAAGAGTACTGAAGAGCAACGATGTCAGGCTGGAGACTAAGGTGCGCCTCATCCAGGCTATATAGTCTTTGCAATTACGTGCTATGCATCAGAGAGCTGGACAGTGAATAGGAATGACAGAAAGAGAATTGATGCCTTTGAGTTTTCGTGCTGGAGAAGAGTGTTGAATATACCATGGACTGCTAGGAGAACAGACAGTTTTGTCCTGGAGAGGGTGAGGCCAGAATGTTCCCTGGAGTCAAGGATTCTGAAGCTTCGTCTGACATACGTTGGGCATGTTGCAAGGAGGGACTGGTCCTTAGAGAGGGACCTCATGCTTGGGAGAGTGGAGGGACGGCGCAGGAAAGGAAGACCCTCAATGACATGGATCAATTCTGGAGTGGAGTGGTGGGAATGAGTGTGTTTGGGACAGCTAGGTTGGCACAGGATAGACAACATTTAGGGCTCTTGGACATAGGGTCACTATGAGTCGCAAATGACTCGATGACACATAACAACAACAATACCATGTGTGTGTCACTCTGGAGATTAAGGTGCAACTGATACAGGTGATGGTCTTTGCATCACTTATTATGCATCAGAGAGTTGGACAATGACTAGGGAGGACAGAAGGAGAATTGATGCCTTTGAGCTGTGGTGCTGGAGAAGAGTATTGAATATACAATGGACTGCCAGGAAAACAAACAGATTCACCCTGGAGAGGGTTTAACCAGGCTGCTCCTTGGAGACAAGGATTCTGAGACTTTGTCTGACATACTTTGGACATGGTATAAGGAGGGACAGGTCCTTGGTGAGGGACATCATGCTTGGGAGGGCAGAGGGAC